CCAAAATAGAAAAGTTGAAACAATTGGGATTTTTTGGAAAATTGAGATGTAATTACTAATTCATGATCTAGCATGTACAGAATGAAAATTTCATTCTCGATTCTACGAGAATTTTTATGAAAGTCTTTCATTTGCTTCTCTTCGATTGAAGTTTTATTTTCTCAGAATGTATCTTAATTTTTGGCCTAATTCCTTTTCTGATGATCGATTCAATCTCTAATAAAAAAGATATACCTTGGTTGTATTTCATCTCTTCAACAAGTTTAATAATGAGAATAACGGCCTTATTGTTCCGATGGAGAGAAGAACTTATGATTAGCTTTTCTGGAAATTTCCAAACGAACAATTTCAACGAAATTTTTCAATTTCTTATTTTACTATGTTCAACTCTTTGTATTCCTCTATCCGTAGAGCATAGTGAATGTACAGAAATGGCTATAATAGAGTTTATGTTATTCATATTAATAACTACTCTAGGAAAAATGTTTTTATGCGGTGCTAACGATTTAATAACTATCTTTGTAGCTCCAGAATGTTTCAGTTTAAGCTCTTACTTATTATCTGGATATACTAAGAAAGATGTACGGTCTAATGAGGCTACTACGAAATATTTACTCATGGGTGGGGTAAGTTCTTCTATTCTGTTTCATGGTTTCTCTTGGCTATATGATTCATCAGGGGGAGAGGTTGAGCTTCAAGAAATAGTGAATGGTCTTATCAATACACAAATGTATAACTCCCGATGAATTTCAATTGCGCTTATATTCACCACTATAAGAATTGGGTTCAAGCTTTCCCCAACCCCTTCTAATCAATGAACTCCTGATGTATACGAAGGAGTGCGGTTCATTTGAGAAATTCCTACCTATCTATCTATCTCTGAGATGTTTGGATTTTTCAAAACTCCATGAACATGCAAAAAAGAAATGCTATCCCACTCAGACCAAGACATAACTTTGACTTGTTCAAATAACAATTAAGGTGAAGCAGAGTCAGGAACAACGAATCTCATTATGATAAACATATCTATTTTGCAAATTCGTTATTACGTGTAGTTTCTACAAAGGATCGGACTACTGACGTATACATACTTGAATTCTCGATCTAGATGCTACATTGTTGGTTCTCATCCTTCAGAAACTATGAGTGTAATAGGAGCATCCATCGACAAAAGGATCACCATAAGATGATCATCTCATACCTATTGAGAACGAATCAAATCAGATGGTTCTATTTCTCAATCTTTCTGACTTGCTCCGACGGAACCAAGGTCGAAAAGATTGAGAAAAATCAGTTATTCACAACCACTAATGAAGGACTCCTCGAAAAGTTAAAGATTAGTAATCTGTTTAGAAATCGAATGGATTCGATCTTATACATACGCGATGAAGGTAATCAAAAAAGTAAGAAGATGAGTTCTTCTTTACTTTTATCACTTAGGAGCCGTGCGAGATGAAAGTCTCATGCACGGTTTTGAATGAGAGAAAGAAGTGAGGAATCATCTTTTCGACTCTTGACTCTCCCACTCAAGTCGTTGCTTTTCTTTCTATTACTTTGAAAGTAGCTGCTTCAGCTTCAGCTACTCGAATTTTCTATATTCCTTTTTATTTCTCATCAAACGAATGGCATTTTCTTCTGGAAATCCTAACTATTCTTAGCATGATATTGGGGAATCTCATTGCTATTACTCAAACAAGCATGAAACGTATGCTTGCATATTCGTCTATAGGTCAAATCGGATATGTAATTATTAGAATAATTGTTGGAGACTCAAATGGTGGATATGCAAGCATGATAACTTATATGTTGTTCTATATCTCCATGAATCTAGGAACTTTTGCTTGCATTATATCATTTTGTCTATGTACTGGAACTGATAACATTCGAGATTATGCAGGATTATACACAAAAAATCCTTTTTTGGCTCTCTCTTTAGCTCTATGTTTCTTATCCCTAAGAAGTTTTCCTCCACTAGCAGGTTTTTTCGGAAAACTCCATTTATTCTAGCACGAATGGCTAGCAAGCCTATATTTCTTAGTTTCAAGAGGACTCCTTACGAGCGTTCTTTCTATCTACTATTATCTAAAAATAATCAAGTTATTAATGACCGGATGAAACTAAGAAATAACCCCTCACGTGCGAAATTATAGAAGATTCCCTTTAAGATCAAAAAATTCCATCGAATTGAGTATGATTGTATGTATGATAGCATCTACTATACCGGGAATATCAATGAACCCGATTATTGCGATTGCTCAGGATACCCTTTTTTAGCTTCTAGTTAGTTTTTAGAATCTATTTCTTAGTTTAAGATCTCTCTTACTAATAATAACTGGAATCAAAGAATTAGTAGATCGGTTCCTCCCAAAATGGGAATGGGCTAAGGATATGAACTTAGGGTTCTGTTTTCGGCTTCCTTACTTTGCATCAAGTTGTTTTGAGATCAGTTACTCATGTCAATTTATGAAAAATTCCTTACTCTCATTCTTATTTAACATTATTAGTTCCAAAACTTGAATGTTTGTTTGATGATGACTTGGAGAACCTTATTAAAATTTTTACTTTTTATATTTTGTAAATCCTTTGTATACAGGTCGTTGCTTTTCTTTCTGTTACTTCGAAAGTAGCTGCTTCAGCTTCAGCCACTCAAATTTTCTATATTCATTTTTATTTCTCATCAAACGAATGACATCTTCTTCTGAAAATTCTATCTATTCTTAGCATGATATTGGGGAATCTCATTACTATTACTCAAACAAGCATGAAACGTATGCTTGCATATTCGTCTATAGGTCAAATCGGATATGTAATTATTAGAATAATTGTTGGAGACTCAGATGGTGGATATGCAAGCATGATAACTTATATGCTGTTCTATATCTCTATGAATTTAGGAACTTTTACTTGCATTATATCATTTGGTTTATGTACCGGAACTGATGACATTCGAGATTATGCAGGATTATACACAAAAGATCCTTTTTTGGCTCTTTCTTTAGCTCTATGTCTCTTATCCCTAGGAGGTCTTCCTCCACTAGCAGGTTTTTTCGGAAAACTCCATTTATTCTGGTATGGATGGCAAGCAAGCCTATATTTCTTAGTTTCAATAGGACTCCTTACGAGCGTTCTTTCTATCTACTATTATCTAAAAATAATCAAGTTATTAATGACCGGACGAAACAAAGAAATAACCCCTCACGTGCGAAATTATAAAAGATCCCCTTTAAGATCAAACAATTCCATCGAATTGAGTATAATTGTATGTGTGATAGCATCTACTATACCGGGAATATCAATGAACCCAATTATTGTGATTGTTCGGGATACCCTTTTTTAGCTTCTAGTTAGCTTTTAGAATCTATTTCTTAATCCAAGATCCCTCTTACTAATAATAACTAGAATCAAAGAATTAGTAGATCAATTCCGCCCAAAATGGGAATGGGCTAAGGATATGAACTTAGGGTTCTGTTTTCGGCTTCCTTACTTTGCATCGAGTTGCTTTGAGATCAATTGCTCATGTCAATCTATGAAAATTCCTTACTCTCATTCCTATCTAACATTATTAGTTCCAAAACTTGAATGTTTGTTTGATGGTGACTTGGAGAACCTTATTAAAATTTTTGCTTTTTATATTTTGTAAATCCTTTGTATACAAGTGACATCCTTTTTATGCCTATTAATGTTGTATTCTTTATTACCTTAAAAAAGAAACTACATAGTAGCTAACTAAAAGTTTTTCAGTCCTATAATAGGAATGTTTTTAATATTCTATTTCTCTATTATGAGCTGGGAAAGATCTTTACTTTGGTATCCACGGTCCTTATGTCCCTTTTTCTTATTTTTCGTGTTATTTATCAAAAGTCAGTCTTGCAATACTTTCTTTCCAGACAAAGAAACTGAAATTCCTAAATTTCAAAATCATGAACGCAAATTATGGAAAAGAGCATAAAATCTAGGAAAGCAATTGAATTCCTAACCTTGGTGGCTGATAGTTTGTCCATACGAAGAAAATGTAAAATAAATTGTGTAGTGGATCCATTAACAATAAGCGTCAAGAATACAATTCCACCGGTGAAGAAAACAAACTGCAAAGTTGAGAGAAAACCATAAATATTATTTTCAACACGAAGAAACTGGTTTAGGCACCAAACAAAATAATCAACATTCACTTCCAAAACTCACCAGTTTTCCTGCTTCAGAACTGATATGAATTGAATTATCACTAGAACGCTAAAACAACCAACAAGTAGACAAATTATAAGTTAGATTTGAACTTAAGGAAAAGCCATAAAAAATTCCATTAGAAATTGCATATTTGTATTTATTCCATAGAATAGTATGTGAGAGAAATGGTAAATTAGGTTAAAGGAGATAAGAGTCAATTACATCCTATGTAATGAATTAGGTTAACTTTTGTCATTAATTGTAATTAACTAAAAAACCTGTATATATAAGATTGTAATATTCAATAAAATACATATCAACTATTTTTAACATGCTACCAGAGCTATAGATTAAAAACAACCCTAATCTCAGTCACAAACCCTATTCAGCCTTCATTGTTGAAATAAAAAAGAAAAACCTAAAAGGGTTAGGTACCCATAAATGGATAGCTAGAAGGTAAGATTTGATTCCATTATGTGTTGATGAGTATCCTACAGTGACGCATTCGATGACTCTTGAGTCAAGTTATCCTCTTCAATACTGATGTACGTGAATATAGGTAACATACCTAAAGACATAAGGGATGAGGTTATTGGTGACTCTGTCCTCGGAAAACAATGTGGCTATGACTTCTATGGGATTGCAGAAGTCTAGTATTGCAGATGATAATCAATAGATAAAATAAGTTGCGGCTAACACAACGTCTCCCTGTTAGTGATGAGCAAGGGACTATTTTTCCTCCATGCTATCTGCTTTGTTGTGAATTATAGACACAAAAGGATTCACGAATAATTCATTCTTTGAAAGAATGAAAATAATATTTGGTTAAAATAGTCATGGGCATCATCAGTTCGAAAATATTTGATTTTTACTCTAAGCTGGGTATTGATCGTGTGTGAATTAAAGAATAACGTGACTAATCTTATATTTAGATTTTAACAAGAAAAGTCAGGTTACTCCATTGCAATTTTTGATAAAAGAAATAAATCATCGAGTTTCAAAAATATTACGAATATTTAAGGGTCATGAAATATCACTATAAACCAAATAAAAAGGGAAATAACTTCTTTTATTACCCAAGAGAGAGGAGGGGAAAAGGGAATGGGGGAGGAGGGAATGACACGTTTGTCTTTTGCCAATTCACATGCATCACAATGTAAATTTCAATTACTAGACTCCGAAAACAAAGAGGAAAATATAACATTAAGACTAGAAAATGAGGGATGACCTTATCTGATAGAGCCGTATCCTATCAAGGATGTTGGTGGAAAGGACAATTCGTGATGTCCCAGACGCATCAATGAATTATAATCTGTTTCAAGTCTCAACATTTCCAATTGTCCTTCCTGAATTCTGATCCTGAAATTCACAAAGAGATGAAGAAAAAATCACATAACAATTGAGATCTTGGGACAATTTACTTACTGACATTAAATTGCTGCACAATTTAGAGAGATGTAATACATCAGTAAGTGTAAAGTGATGATTAAACTTTATGGTTC